AATTTATTTCACTTGAATTCAAATAAGTGATTGTAATTTTGAAGTGAAAAGTTGTCATAAGGGTAAAATTGTAACTTCACTGTACTAATCATTGTTGCCTTAATCTGTGTGCCATTTCTAAAGTGGACAACTAAAAAGGGACGGAGGGAGTATTTTACTCTTCAAATATAGAATTTTCTATTTTTTCAGACAATCAATTCCAATTCAATTCTCTATTTTACTCTCGAGAAAGAATCTTTTTTCTCTCTCCTCAATATTATATTATTATTTTTATTTCATTCTTATTTTCTTATTTCATAATATAAATCCTTTATTTATTTTTTCCCAAATAATACTTTATATAATTTTTAATGTGATATAAAATTACTTTTTATTTTAAATTTTTAAATAACATAAATTGCAAGAAAATATAATATAATACATAAATTAGGGGACAAATTCAAATAAAAGTGACATACAATTACATAAACACTCAATTTTCAAAATTATTACGTTGCGTGCATAAATGCTCTATTAATGCATTACGGAGTTTAAAATGAGCATTTTTGTACTTAATTTTTTTATGTCTAGCTAAAAATTGTTCAAACCGGAGATTTTCATCTATCACCATTTCTATAGTTGGAGTTGGAGCCTCTACGACATCTTGAATTGGTGCATTGAGATCACGTTCATCCTCAATTATCATGTTGTGCAGTATAATACTTGTAGTCATTACATCATGTAGCACTTCCTTTCTCCAAAAACGTGACAGTCCTGCAATAATTGCAAAACGTGATAGCAAAACTCCGAATGCACGTTCAACATCTTTTCGGCACGATTCTTGTTTCATCGCGAAATATTTCTTTTGTTGGGAATGAGGATCACAAATAGTTTGAACAATTGTAGACCGTTTAGGATATATACCATCAGCTAAATAATAACCCATATCGTATACCATTACAACTATAGTCACAACCACAATCGCAATAATTCTCGAAATCATATTCTTATTTTTTTCCGAATAGTGCTAAATCTGGAAACGACCTATCGGATTTCTAAATTATTGTTGTGATCAATTAATTATTATGTTATGTATTGTATTTTATCTTGTATTTAAATTATTATGTTATGTATTATATTGTATTGTTATCTTGTATTTAAATTATTATGTTATGTATTATATTGTATTGTTATCTTGTATTTAAATTATTATGTTATGTATTATATTGTATTGTTATCTTGTATTTAAATTATTATGTTATGTATTGTTATCTTGTATTTAAATTATCATATCATGTATTGTATTTATAAATTAAATTTTTTCATCTTGCCATTTTAATTTTGCGTATTCTTTATAATAAAAATTAATAATAAAATAAAATTTTATTATTCACGAAAATTAGAAAAATAAAATAAAATACTATTAATTTGAAATTAAAATAGTATATATTAAATAATATTTAAAAATATTATATTACATTTAAAAAAGAATTATGAATATTAGATATTTAATTAATAGAATTATATGTAAAATAATATGTTAATTAGAAAGTAATAAAAATATTAATAAAATAATGAAAAAGTGAAATAGAGAGTGTGAATAGTAGTTTTCCAAATTTGGAGAACTACTATTTAACTCTCTAAATTTGAAGAATAGAGGGTGATTGGGAGGTGGGTTGGAGTGCCCATTCTCTATTTTACTCTCCAAATATAAAGTATGGAGAATAAAATAGAGATGGATTGGAGATGGTCTTAGAGATCTCGATTTCAAATTTTTAATAAGAAATCTCACTCTTGATCGATCCTATCCGGTACAAATACAGATTAGATGAAGTGTCGGACTACAGTGCAAAGTTATGTAAAAATTCCTACTATTAAATATTATTTTATGAATATTGTCAATTTGGGTATATCATGATACCAAGACCAATGTAATATAGGTAATTATAAGTGTTAGCTAAAGGTAAAATCACATGTAAAAAAGTAAAGACCGACAAATCATTGGTGCTAGTGCATATATATATACTAGCTAAAGATAAAGATATAATGGATGAAAAAACCCTAAACAAACCCTTAATTTAAAGAGAAAAATACATAAAAACCCTCTTAAAACTTGATAGTACAATTTACTTTAGCACTAAAATTATACGGGTGTTTAAATACCCCTTTAACATATTTGAAGTGAATTAAATACAACCCTGAGAATAGAATATCACTCTCGCCTACCACATCACAGCCATGTAAGCACCACATCACAGCCGTCCGTGTAAGCACCACACCATTAATTTTCAAATTTTTTTTTGCTTATTCACTTTTTTTCTTAAAATTCATTACACTAATCAATTAATTAAAATGTATTTTTAAATCAAAATTGCCCATTTTCTTCTAACCCCCCCCCCCCCCCCACACACACACTTTCTTCTTTCTTGATTTTCACCATTTTTGACTTTCATTAGCTTCTTTTTTTCCCCGAATTTTCAGCCTTCAATAGTTGTTTTCTTCTACAACATTCATCAATTTTTTTTTAAAAAAAATAGCGCACTTACTTTTTCTTCTTCGAACCCTCTCTCTCTCCCACAAATTTGCCCCTTGGAGAATAATATTTTTTAAAAGTTATTTTTTTGTTAATAACTCAAATGAAAAATGAAGGTTGTATAAGAAAGTTGATAGACCCACATTTTTTGCATCACAACTAATAGAATTCAAAATGAGTTACTTATATTCAAGAAAAATTACTTTCAATAATGTGAATTAGGTGGTGAATTTTGTGATCAGTGAAGGGCGGGTGAGGTGAGAGATGAAGATGAAGGAAAAAAATTGGTATGGAAGAAGAAAGGTATAAGGAGTGCTTCAATTGGGAAGAAGACATTTGGGGAAGACAACAAAAAATGAGAGAACAAAAAGATTAAATATTTTTTTAAAAATTGAACCCACAAATTTCATTTACTTTCTAAACAAGAAATTTCACATTTTTTTTTTAACTTTAAGTTATAAAAAAATTAAAAATTATTAGTTATATATTGACCAATAAAAAAAATGTCATGTGTATGATTTTACCCTTCAGTTTTTTTATTTTTATTATTTCATGTGCTTTGAGGAGAGTGAATACACTCACTTTGCCACGTCAACTTTTAGGGCGGTATTTAATCAGTTCAGAATAGTTAACAGGGGTATTTAAACGCCCGTATAATTAAAGTACTAAAGTAAGTTTTGCTGGTAAATTTAGATTTTCTTTCTTTATGTATTTTCTCTAATTTAAATGAAGACGTGATAATGATTTATACAGCTAACCTCTTTAATAGCTCTCACCTGCTTTTCAGCAGAACCGAAACTAAAGTTTCTAACTTTACATGAGTTTCAAGTTTAAACTAACGATTTTCATAGCTAGGTTCTGATATAATATTAATGCATGCATATTTAATAAAAAATTTAGGGAAAAGGGTCAAAAATGCCCTTAAACTATGTGAAAGGAACAAAAATGCCCTTCGTTTATAGTTTGGCTCAAAAATGCCCTTAACGTTAATACTTTGGTTCAAAAATGCCCTTAAACTATGTGAAAGGAACAAAAATGCCATCCCTTTATAGTTTGGCTCAAAAATGCCCTTACCGTCAATACTTTGGTCCAGAAATGCCCCTATAGTTACAAAATGGGTCAAAAATGCCCTTTTCCGAATAAATATATATTTTTTCTTTTTAAACACATCTTCGTCCTAATTAAAATATTATTGAAGAACACTATTCTTGTTTTCTTTCTTCTAAAATCACTTTAACAAATAAAAAGGTAGGAAATTTTTTTTTCTTCTTAATCTCATTTTATCAATTAAAATAGAATAACGTCATGTACCCTTTGGACATATAATATATGTCATATATAAGATTATAGTATATCCATCATTAATTTATATTTATATAACGATAAAAAATAAGAAATATTTTCATTTTTATTTTTTTCTAAATTGAAGTAGGATAAACATTTGCTAATTTAAAAAAAAAAAACATTATTAGAAAAGAATGTGTTAAAAAAAATATTTATTTGAAAAATGAGCATTTTTTACCCATTAAATAACAATAAGGGCAATTTTGGACCAAAATATTAACGGTAAGGGCATTTTTGGACCAAACTACAAACGGATGGCATTTTTGTTCCTTTCATATAGTTTAAGGGAATTTTTGAACCAAAGTATTAACGCTAAGGGCATTTTTGAGCCAAACTATAAACGGAGGGCATTTTTGTTCCTTTCACATAGTTTAAGGGCATTTTTGACCCTTTTCCCAAAAATTTAAAACACAAATAATGGTATTGGGTTCAGCCAACTCATACTTGTACCATTGTACTTTTAGCTTCTCCCCTATTTCTCAACCAAAAGATCCCTAAATATAGTTTTTTATTGTTTTAATTTATTTATTTGGTTTTAACTTGGTATGAAGTTTAAAAAAGTAAAAAGAAAATTTATCTGATTTAATGTCTTAAAATTCAAAACTATTATTTACTTTCTCAAATTTCATGCTAAATCAAAATCATACAAATAAATTGAAATGGAAAAAAATAGTGTTAGAGACCCTCTTTTCTTCCTGCAGAAACAGTTGCAAAAAGTTATAGTAAATGCGAGCTTTGATTTTCTGTCCCCTACTTCAGAAGAGTACAATACTATATATATATATTTATTTATTTGTGGTTTTGAATTTATGTGTATTCTCTCTCTCACTCCAATGTATTTCATAGACCTTTCTGAAGGATTCAAGTAATTGATACATTAATTTCATGAATAATTAAGCAGTTGCACTTAATTGATTTACTTCCCCCCTTTCTTTTAGCTCATTTAAAAATAATGTTTTCCCCCCTTCTTAGAAATATTTTAATTCTAACTTTCCAAATGACAAGCTTAAGATTACTAAATTGAATGACATTTTAATATATTTGACATATCTATAATTTAAGATTATGAGATTTAAAAGTCTTCATTATTTTCTTATAGTTAGTATCAAGTCAAAATATGTCAAATAAATTAAAATTGAGCGAGTTTGAAATAAAGTATATATAGAACAAAGTAAAAAGCCCAATATAGCACTGCACAAGTTTAATTTATTAAAATTTTTGATTTTGTCACTATTTGAACCTCAAATTAATCCCATGGTTTTGCGCGGCCTGAAGGTATAGCTGCTGAATCGTCAGAACTCAAATGGTAATGCACCTTTACCTTTTAGAGGGGAAAAAAAAACAAAAATAAATGATAGTGAGCTAAATATATGTAAAATATACTGAGAAAAAAAAAATGAAGAGTAAATTATATAGGTATTATGGAGTACTCATTTAAAATTATGATCATGACTATAGTAATAGTAACTCTTGTCAAATAATTAATATATGGATAGCTTTACAAGTCAAGTAACTCATTGATATTTCTAACATCTTCAATCTCAAACAAGTTGGAATCAACTAAATTTTTCTTATTTGAACAAAGAATACTTAACTATTCTAGCTTCTTTCCTTTGCTTTATTCTCTCTCTATATATATGTAAATTATATCATGCTATAATATAGTCTGATCTGGTCCTTTAGCTTGTGGTCGTTAGCCTTTGTCACATATAATGAGCAGTTTTTGCTTCAAGAAAACAAAGACCATACACTACATCAAAAATGATCTTTAGCGATAATTAATTAATAAATAACAATAGCTCAATTGTCACTAAATATGTATGTATTTTTAGCGGCAATTAACGCTCTTTGTGTATGTCCCTAAAGTCTTGTGCGACATTGAATCTAATGTCACTTAACTTATGCAGATAAAGACTTTAACACTCTTTATAATGTGTCTATTTATTACTGCTAAAAATTGTTTTTGTGGTAGTTATATGCCAACTTTCACTTCAATCCAAGTAATTAGACAGTTCAGTCAAACATATTAGGATCTTGCTTTATAGATGTGACCCTGATTTTTCTTTATTGTCCAGATTAAGTTGTCTGGACTTCTCAAAATTGTTATTGTATTTGTATTGGATTTTGCAAAATACACTATTTTGGAGTATATGACATAAACTCATCGATATTTTTAAAAAATTCGAGCAACATATATAGGTATAATCAAAGATTAGCTGGAAAAAATAAAAGTAAAAAAAGGAGATAAATACAGTATTTCTTTTAAGTGTAACATCGTAATGTTGTGTAGCAATTTCATTAACGTTCTTAGTAAGAAGCATGAACAGTTTTAGTATAAGAGCATGCAACAATTGGAAAGTACATTAAAGCTGCAAAAGTTGGAAAGCGGAAGAGCAAAAGAATATATATTATGAGGTCTTACATTCAAATTTCATTGAAAACAAAAATATTAAGAGCATGTTTGGAAGGACACCCTGGTAATTGAATTTGGTATAGTTGATATAATTACACTGTCTTGTCCTGTTTGGAGGGACATGTAATTACTTGGTCAGCATGTAATTGGTGTAATTGGCAGGGGGTAATTACACTCTACAATTCACAAGCAGAAACTGTGAATTGCTGGTAATTACATGGTGTAATTACCACCCTATTACTTTTTCATATTTTTTAATTTCTATTTTATTTTTTTTTGTTTTAATTTTTTTTACTTTTATTATTTTAATCTTTCTATTTTTATTTTTATTATTCTAAAAATTTGTAAAAGTCTATTTTTTATTTTTTATTATTATATTTCATTTTATTCTTATCAACCTTACTTTACATGATTCTATGTAATTTTCTCGTATTATCTATTTCTTTATGCCATGCTTATTTTCTCATTAGCATAATTTTATGACTATTCTAATTTTTAAATTAAAATAGAATTTATTGTTAAGTAAGGTTATAGACTTACGTTTTCTTTATTATGAAGAAATAAAAATAAATCATATTTATTGCTATGTTGAAATTTGTTATAAGAGTATTATGTTAAATTTTTTGTTTTGAATTTATTACTTATGTTGTTTTTTCAGTTTCATTTGTTTTAGTAATATTGAATTACATTGCACGTCATTTTTTAATTAAACTTGATAGATTATATTTTTGTCAAACATTTAATAATTTATGATATTTTATTTATATATTACTATTCTTTTTATCAAACATGCATTTCACAATGTTCGTATAAACTTCATACTTTTAGTTGTTACAATCAATTCAATTGAAATATATTAATTTGAAAAAATATAAATCAATTATTTTTTCATAATATTAGTTACAGTAAATATGTTTATTAATTAATATATTTTCAAAAAAGAATATATATCTTAAATATTTAATTTAATGTCATTTGTAAAATTTCTGATTTTTCTAGTATAAATTTTAAATGATTAATTTTTTATTTTTAAAATTTATTATAATTTTATGATTGCAATAGTGCATCCAAACAGAACATGTGTAATTACACTGTGACATCCAAACAAGACATGTGTAATTAACTGTGGTAACCAAACAGGTCAGTGTAATTATTAGACTGTGTAATTACTAGACTGGTAATTACTACCCTAGTAATTACACCAATTCCAATTACTTGGTGGCTTTCCAAACAGACTCTAAGCAATTTCTTTTCATTTGCCCTAAATCTCGAAAGAGATATTCGGCATGCATTAGTATTGATAATAGATAACATATATTCATAAAATTAGTCGCGCACAAACTAATCCAAACACCCTGACTATAAATTATTATTATTATTATTATTAGCAGGAATCTTAGATTGTGTTCATGGTTCCAAACTTCCGGGACATTTGCTACATAGGAATAAGGGATAATATATAATTACGGGATAAAAAGTTATTTATTGGGATATTAGTTAGTAATGAAATTATTTAAATCATCATTATCTGGTGAAATATCTCAATCAATAAATATAGAATAACTTTATCTATCCCAATAGGCCAATACCCATACAAACAACCCCTTAAAAAATTAACTTTTTAAACATATTTATTGTCTGTAAATGACTTGACACTTTTGTATCTCATGAATGGCAAAAGTTCATACCAAAATCTATTCGATTGAAGCAAAAATGGTAAAGAAAACAATAATTTAACGTTCAGGTTCACCTGATAGTGGTGGCGATGACAGTGGCAGTTGTACTGACGTGGACAACTGTTGCGGTGGTGGTGGAGGAGGAGGGCGTTTCCGTTTTTTCTTCTTCTCGTAACTAACTCCCCTCGCTTTGGACTGTAAATCACGAACCTCGCGAAGATAAAGCCTAACAGCACGAGCACCAAAAGGGTTCATCTCCGGCTTCCCTCCATTTTCTTCATAAGCCGCTCTAAGTCGTCCTACCAATGCGTCAAGGCTCCCCCAAGCTTGCTTTAGCGGACACGGACACGGTGCTGGCGGATTCGGATGCCCATAAAACGGACACATCTGAATCGAATCACAAACGGGTGAAAAAGTTATATATTTGAAAATTACTCCCTTAACATCACAATTGAATATTTATAAGCTTTTAGTCAAAGAAAAAATTACTAGTTAACTTTCAAAATTCAAACTATGTCACATAAATTGAGTAATTGAGAGATATATAGTACCAAATGTAAGATCGTCAGATGCAGATGTTTTTGAGTTTCTTCAGTAACAATAGATTATTGAGTTCAATTCAAATATTTTTAGTTATTTTAATACATATACAAAATTTAAGCAAAAAGTTACTGAATTCTGGAGAGAATATAATCGGATGATCCTACCGGAGTATGAACTTTAGTCTTGCCGAATTGATCAAGGTAACGAAGGAATTCAAGGACGTGAGCACCACTGCATCTAGAGAGCGTGAGTGGAGGCCTGTGGTTTCTCAGGTACTGACCGAACGTGTTCCAATCCCGCCGCTTCTGATTTTCATATCTGCTACTTGAGCTAGCTGGTGCCGCTGGTGCAGCAGCAGATGAAGAAGAAGAAGTTATCTCGATGTTGTTAACTGTTTCGATGTTGATTTTCTCGTGATGATGATGATTCGAACTCTCCACTAATTCCGTAAAAGAAGCCATAAATACGTCTTTAGGATCGATCTTTATCTTCCTTATTCTAGATCGGTCGCTTTATTGAGTTTGTTACTGTTCATCGTCAGAGTAACAAAATTAAAAAAAAGGAAAGTGAAGAAATATTCGTATGTTTGAACAATACTAGAAAAAATTGGAAGAGTACTGGTATAGCTAGTTTTGTTTTTTTCTGAAAATGATCAATAATTGGTACTTTTTCTTTAGCTAAAATTGGGGAAGCAAATTTTTTTGGTATTAATGGGGTAGAGAAGAGAGAACAGAGGGGGGAAGTGTACTGTTTGTTTAGGGTTTATATGGAAATGAATTGGAAGGGAGTGAAAATATAATGTGATATAAAGGGAGTAGGACATGTTGTTTTCTTCCATTTATGCCAAGTACCAAAATGCCCTTGCTACATGTGAGAAATTAAATAGTACTGTTCTATAATTAATTACTCCCATTCTCTACTAACTACTACTCCTATATATTCATTTATATATAATATAATATAAACTTGATATTTGGTTGACAATTATGGACATGATGGACTTTTTTGTGTGTTTAATCACCTTAGCTTATTTAATTTTTTTTGGATCTAACTAGTTTAGGTTCCAACACTTTAAATAAAAAGGGTGTATGTCATACATTAGATATTATGGTAAGATGTTAGTTTTTTGGTCTAAGTTTTGGAATGAAAAGAATTTTAATTAGTATCATGGAGAGTGTTTTTGTGTTTTAATGAAACCGCATGCGACACAAATTTTATCGAATATCGAATGAAAAAAAAGAGAGTTATTTGTATGGATACGCTCTTTAATTATTGCCAACTTTCAAACCCACATATTTGATTAAGTAGGTGTTTGGCCATGCGATACTATTTCATGATATGGAATTGTGAGATGAAATCAACGTTTGGACATGCAATTTCACGTTGATTCCATCTCATGATTTCATATCATGAGATGGAATTCCATATTCTCCAAAAATCATGATTTGGAAATTTCATATCATGATTTGAGATTTTTTAAATACAAAAAATTGACCCACAAGTTCATATTTTGTTAAAATAACGTCACGTTTATATCTACTAACCATTTATTTCATATGTAAATAAAATTAACAATCACATCATTACTTTTTAAAATTTATTATTCTCACCAGCATAAAATTTATTATTATTTTAAATTTGGTAAACATGAATGATAGAGTATGAATTGATTTGGTATAAATAAGAACGGATGAGTAATACTTTTTTGGTTATTCATAATAAAAAAAACTTCTCTTTCGGCTACATATGAAAATGTTTAAAGCAATTTATTATGAAAAAGGATAAAATTGGTGATGTATGTTTGATAATCACTACTTCTAATATGTTTGATTCTAGCACAAAATAATGCACTGAAAATGTGTAATTGCACACAAGTAAAACAAGGCATGAACCATTATGATATTGACACACAAGTGAAAATTGTCATAGCTTGTAGTATTACATAATTATTTGCGAGAATACCAAAGGAGTGATGAAATTTTATGGTCTATGAACATGAAAATATAGTTGCGAATGATATTGACCAACAAATGACTCAAAGTAGCAATGTTGGTTCATCTTCTAGGTCATATGATCGAAAAATGCAAGTTCAACGTGAGAAGATTGATTGTACTATGTGGGAGGATTATATTAAGACTAGTACACTACAATTTATGTTCAATTTTTTTTATTTGATTAAAGTTTGATCAAATAAAGTTAGATGAAACAATTATTTAAGTGGAGAACAAATAACTTTGTAATAATTTATTATGCGATTTTATAAAAAATTGTTTATTTGGTAAGATTGAATAAACAATTGGGCTATTTTAATAGTTTTACAACTTATGAAATTCTTATGTTTATGAGAAAATATACAACACAAAAATTACATATCGCATGTCCAAACAAACTTCAACTTCATAATATCATGATTTCTTATCGCATGACCAAACGGGTCCTAAGAGGAGAAATCTAAAGTATCACACACGGTAGGAGTCCCAAACATTATGCTCGGAGTCCTTTTAAGTTGGACTAGAAGTTTCAGTTCAAATTTTAGTAATGAAGAATAACTTAACAGTAAACATTTTTCACATGAGCTTATTAAGCACAAATCCGAGTTAATTGTTAATTAGGTTAGTAAATTTTGAATATTAAATGAATAAATTAAATAAAAATATCAAAAATATATATTATTTTCTCTTCATTTACATCTTAAATAACATGAGAGTCCTTTGAAATACAGTGAAGTTGTTAGTGAAATTATTTTAATAAAATATAAACTGTTCGAGACCAATAGTTTTTACAAATTGCTTTATTTTCTGTCGTCCATATTAAAGACAAAACCACATGGTTTCTGGTAGTTAATTATTTGAGGGTACAAAAATTAAAAAGATACATATGTTTATGTGAAGAAAAAACGTTGGCTTTCTTTTCATAATAAAGTCTAATTAGCTAGAGAGATAGGACGGAGTATATATATATATATATATATATATAAAATAATAGAATTGGCTAATTAATTATCATATCTGAATTTACGCCGAACGAGCCATGCACTGTTACGACTTACGTACGCACTTCCCATCACCTAATTTTCTCTTATATTCTCTCTTCCTTTTTAGTCGTACTTGTTTTCTGCTTCATAAATATATTTAGTGAAATCTCATGACTTTATCGAATTTGAAAATAATAAAGTGTAGATAGATTAAATATACCCTTAAATTATATTTCAGCTCAAAAGTGTTCTTCATGTTTAATTATTGGGTCACACTTACCCTTCTCTTTAACGGAAGAGTTATGTGGCATCGATGTGTGTATTAAAATGCCACATGGACCTCCACATGTGCCGCCAACACACCCACCTCCACATAGAAGCCCTAATTTCACTCATTTTTTCCCACATTTCATTCTTTCACAAGGCCCAATTTCACCCCTTTCCCTCATTTCATCCATTTCTCCATTAAAAGACATAAGAAGCTTTTATTTAAAAGAGAAAGGGATGAAACAAGGGAAAGGGGTGAAATTGGGATTGGTGAAAGGATGAAATGTGGGGAAAAGGAGCGAAATTAGGGCTTCTATGTGGAGGTGGGTGTGTTGGCGTGTACATGTGGAGGTCCATGTGGCATTTTAATACACACATGGATGCCACATCATTCTTCCGTTAAACAAAAGGGTAAGTGTGGTCCAATAGTTAGACGGAAAGGACACTTTTGAGCCGAAATATAGTTTAAGGGTATATTTAATCTATTTTGAATAGTTTAAGGGTAAAACCCTTTTCCGATTTTAAAATATTTAATTTTTATATTAGTATTATATATGTAAGTTAATTGATCATACTTAAAGTCTTTTTTATCATTGAAGATTTTTCTATGTCGTTTGATTTATTTGTATTATTATTACCTTATGCATGTCGCAACCTGCAATTAAATGATTCATTTTTTAGATTAATTAGGTAAATACTCTAATTTATTTGTGATTTGATTAATTTAATTAATTATGTGAGATTATTTCTCATATTTTATAAATTACGTCAATAATAAAGTCAATGTAATTGATCCTACAAGTATTATGTAAGGAGGATATAGTGTATGCAAATTTTATACTTATCTTGTGAGGATAGAGATATTGTTTCTGAGAAACCTTCAACTCAAATATATCATAACAAAAATAAATCTTAAAATTGCAAATTAAATAAGTTGATAGAGTTTTGTTTTCGATCAAAATTTCTGGATATAAGAAGAACATGAGAATTGAAATATACATTTGCGTCATTATTAGTTCAATAGTTTGGAAATATAAATACTACGTACAAATGGAGTTATTTTTAATGCATTGAAGTAAATGAATCAAAAGACTAGACCCTAGCTATAACCCTAACTCGTTTATTGGTTTCTAACCACCATTTATAGGTCTGCAATTCATACATGTTGATCATGTGTACACGTATTAATTGATAGTCTATTATCATTTTCTTAAACAATTGTTATGAATAACAAACTTTGAGCTACCATTCGTTGTAAAATTTAAAAATTATCTACAAATATTTATGAAGATGCGTCGTGCATATCCTATCTAATCAACTCTCCCATATACATTTTTGGCCTACCTTTACCCCTATGAGTACCCTCAATAACTTTCTCTCTTACGAATAGTCTGTGTGACAAACCTCACTTCCACATTTGCTTTATACATCACGTAACACTGAATTTGCACTCCAAATATTCTATCTTTGATTATATATACTCAACCTAAAACCTTTGAACTCCTAAGTTTATCTCCAAACCTTCAGTCTAGCATTAACTTTGTTTGGTATCTCATTAATCAGTAACATGTTATCAACACATAAAATACACTATGAAATCTCATCCTAAATTGACTGTGTGAACTCATCAATCACCAAGGCAAATGAGGAAAAAGGTAAGATCATTGATGGTGTTGCCCCATCTCAAGTGGGAATTCCTTTGAGTCTCTTCCCATCGTTCTAATCCAAGTCTTGACTCTATCATACATGTCATTTATCGCCCTAATATAAATCATTAGGACACCTCTAACCTCAAAGCACCTCTAAAGGATAACTCTCGAGACTTTGTTATATGCCTTTACAAGATCAATGAACATTATATGTAGGTCTATCTTTCTTTCTCTATAATTTTCTATCAATCTTCGTACAAGATGAATGACTTCAACAATCGATTATCCCAACATGAATCTAAATACTCGTGGTGACCGGCAAGAAGGCAAATGAAATGATCTTTTTTGACCAATTATAGGTAGAAAAAAAAGGTCATATATATAGTAATTAAAAGAAAAATTATGTAGTAAATTAGTTACCATTTTTTAACTTTTAATAAATGGCGTTCGATATTTTCGAGGGAAAACGAAAAGAAGCTTTCTATAATTCGATTTTTCCCTCTCATTCGTCTTTCATACTCTTCCAATATGGGAACCCGACTCCAGCTCCGACTCCGACGCTCCATGAGTTAAGACACATTTTCCGAGAAAAATACCCGCCAAAACAAAAATCCCCTCACTTCAAACCCTAATTTCACTCTCCATCAACTCAATTCAAGTTTCATATTCACCATTTCATCACAAAATTCTCACTGAAGACCTAGGGTTTCGACTCAGCAATGCCGTCACAGGCGTCGCCGGGAAAAATCCACCGGCTGGAACTCGAGAATTTCAAGTCCTACAAAGGATTTCAATCAATTGGCCCATTTTACGACTTTACAGCGATTATAGGACCAAATGGAGCAGGAAAATCTAACCTAATGGATGCAATCAGCTTCGTCCTTGGAGTTCGTACGGGTCAACTTCGAGGTGCACAGTTGAAGGACTTAATTTATGCTTTTGACGACCGTGAAAAGGAGCAGAGAGGTCGAAGAGCTTTCGTGAGGCTAGTTTATCAGCTTGCTAATGGTACGGAAATTCAGTTTACGCGTGCTATTACGAGTGCTGGTGCTAGTGAGTATCGGATTGATGGGAAAGCTGTTAATTGGGATGAGTATAATGCCAAATTGAAGTCCCTTGATATTCTGGTTAAAGCGCGGAATTTTCTTGTCTTTCAGGTACGTGGTGGTTAATTGTTTTAAGATTTAACTTCATTGCATTGCCATTATATAGTATGTAAGAACAGCTACTATTTCTCGAAAAGACACAACTACAACTCTCATTCCGAAGCAAGTTGCCGTCATTGACAGTATATTATAGGTCATTTAATTGCCAACTTACCTTGTATAGCAAGTATAAAAGTGGAACCCGAAGAAGATGGGTAACTTGCCACATCTAATTTAACTATACAATCACACTCTGATAGCGTGTACACAGACATCATATAATGTAAATTCTATTACATTGACAGTGTGTCTTGGTTTGCCGCAGAATTAACCATCTTTAAACAGCCAGAGCACCTCTGCACCTCATATATTTTTTTTAGGTTAACTAACTTTGTTGTATTAATCACCAAATGAGTCATTACAAATCCATAGCAAAACTCACACAGCTTGCTATCTTAGGCATTAATAATAACAGGAATTACAACTCCAAAGCATATCTCACGCTCACTCATTATTTAAAGGATTGAAGTCCAATTCTAATTCCAGGTGAGGCTCACACACCTGATGCATATGTAACCTTTGCAACAGCTTTCCAGTGTCTTCTCTTCTTCACAAATATTCTTGTGTTCTTTCAATCCAGATGGAATGAATCACTTCACAGCGTATACTAGTCTGAATATACTTAGCGCGTTATGATTTTCCTTTTGCATTTTGAATGGACCATTTCAGTCCTCTGCACCTCATAACATGTGTTCACATTGGTTAGGATAAATAGAGACGATTAAATGAATGATGGTGTAAAAGAATTTTGAACTATCTTTATGGATTGAAAAAAAGTGAACTATCTTTCATCCATTGTAATTGTAGTTCAAAACACATTCCTATCTAATCATAATAAAGCGCAAAGTGTCACTAAAGACAGTATTAAGAATGGCTTGTATTAGCTGAAAGAAGAGGCAAGTTGTTATTGTTGCCATCAAATGAAGGTATCTGGCTAATCTGAGTTGCTCTATAGGTCACTGCAAAAATTGATTGCCATCACGTGAATGAGTTGCTAATTGTATTCCTTTGACGTTCTGTAACTGTGGTACACTTATAAGCTGGCAAATGAATATAAGTAGAAAAAGGAAAGCTCAGAGTATGACATTTAACTACCTATGCTATTATTCTGGAGTTAGTAAACTGAAATAGCAGTTACTTCCTTCTGCATGTGTTAATGGATATCTCTTTTACCTATGGAGAATTGATGCAGGGTGACGTTGAGTCTATTGCATCCAAAAATCCAAAAGAACTCTCTGCACTCCTTGAGCAAATATCTGGATCTGAAGAGTTCAAGAGACGCTATGATGAATTGGAAGAAGAAAAAGCAAGAGCTGAAGAAAAGAAGGCACTTGCTTACCAGAAAAAGAAAACTGTAACTATGGAGCGAAAACAGAAAAAGGAACAGAAAGAAGAAGCTGAGAAGCATCTTCGTTTACAAGATCAACTGGTATGAGTTCAGTACATCTGTTTTTGAGTGCAGCGTCTTGTTTATGATTTTAATGCAAGATTCACCTGCTTTTATATGTTAAAGCATTATTCATGTTTATAGTCATGTGCTGAAGTGTTGTTTTTGTCTATATCCTTGAATTTCTATTTTTTCAGCTGTCTGCGTGAGTATTGTGCTTCTCATTCTTTGTTTTATTTTTTTCAATAATTGTCTTTCTATTTTTTTTTTTTGGAAATTGGTAACTTAATTGTCTTTTGGATTTATCAAGTTATCATTTCATTTGTGCTTCTTCAGTCACAACATTTTTATCCACACTTGCTTGCCTAAATTTTATAACAAGGAGTTTCATACATCTTTGATTTCCTCTTATCTAAAATACGTGCCTCTGTCTGTATTCATTATATGTATATATAAATGCAAGGGTATATTTATCAATTCATAATAAGGTGAGTTTTAAACTACTCTCATTTCCTCCTCGTATTTAGCTATTATCAGTAGTAGGGACATGAAGCATTTGATAAATAGTTTTGTAGTGATTGGGATACTTTCTACTCCATTTTTGGCCTTCTCCAATAGAAGCAATTTCAGGAGAACAAATTAGTTGCTTGGTAGAGGCAGTGTATGCAGAAATGTCATTTATTCCCTGTTAATGATAAAAGGTTATCTACTCTGAATTTTATGGGGACCAATGTGTATATATGGTAACACCCTCAAGATTTTATTTTTTTCCTGGCATGTAGTGGATGATGTTTTTTCTTGTTAGTTGCTATGAGTGGAAGGAGAAAATATTTTGTAAAAAACAGTTGTTTGCTTGGTTTAACTTGTTTCTATTATTCCTTTATGGCTACTCCTCTTGTGAGTCCCCATCATTCGTCATCTGTCTTTATTGCAGAAATCTTTGAAGCAAGAATATTTTCTTTGGCAATTATTCAACATAGAAAAGGATATTGCTAAGACAAACGAGGAACTTGATGCCGAAGAAGCAAGAGTCAAAGAAATTGTGGAGAAACTTGGGGAATATGAAAGTGAATCTAGCAGAAAGAAGAAAGAACTAAGCGGATACATGAGAGAAATTGCATTGCGCGAGAGGAAGATTGCAGATAGAAAAAACAAACTTGACAAGAATGTAATTTTATTCTCAAATTCATTAGTCTTTCACACTTGTTTTATGAGTGATGTTAATGCTATTTTCTGTTTGCCTATGAAGTAAAGCTTTGACTCACAGTTTCAAATTTTGGTGCATGATGCTCGGAGTAACATTATTTCGTCTGAACCACATTTTGTGCTATTCCAATCTGAGATAAAACCTTCAGCAATTGTTGTAAAGGTTTAGATAACTGAAAAGCTGACAGGACAAAACCGAATAGCCTGTTTCAAGATGAGCTATTGCAGGATAGCACTTTTTGCCTGGTAGTCCATATTGCTGGTTCCCTGAATTTTGTGCATGAAATTCGTTACTGTTGGCTCGAAGAGATTCTCTGACTGAATGCTTAGAAGCTTAATGAGTTAAACTTCTTGGGCGAATGCTATTGATTGCTTTCCTAAAATTACTTGTTTATTCTGATAGTTACAATGTTCTATTGAAGGCGTGCAAATGTATTTGTTTGTTTTTAATTTCTATTATTAAGCTTGATGATGTGCCACATTAATCAACTCACTCAGTTTATGTGGCGTCACACAAGAATTTCACCTTTTTTGCCATAGAAAAACAAAATCTCGGTTGTCATTAAATAGATATACTCTTGTGTCCTTGTTGCTCTGTCATCACTAGAGTTGTGAACTACACTTATTTTTTATTCATCACCATTTATAATGTGCTCACTCAAGGATTCATTTATCTTTTCACAGCAACCTGATCTTGTAAAGTTAAAGGAAGAAATATCGCGGATTACTTCAAAAATCAAAAGTACAAGTAAAGAGCTTGATAAGAAGAGAGATGAAAAAAGAAGACATACAGATGAGGTGAAGAAGCTTCAAAATGACTTGAAGGACATTACAAAGCAGCTGGATGAGTTGCGTCAAAGAAGTCGAGATGCAGGGGGGAAACTTCAGTTAGCTGACAGTCAATTGGAGACATATCACCAAATGTGAGTTCTTTTATGGTTGAGAAACTCTTTTACATGAAGGAATATGAGTACTGTGTAATCTCTTTAACGTTTTACTGCTGCTTTATTTGTTAATAAAATAAATGTCTTTGGATGATAATTGACGATCTAGGAATCATTAATTTTTCCGGTAGTTAATTTTGGTCGTAGACTTAGGTTTGTGTTTATAGTCAGGGTTGGTGGGGGTTCAAAGTGCTAAGACCATAAGTATTGAAAGAAGTTCTGAATCTGAGGGAACACCTATACTTTAATATGTTGGGACCCCATTTTATTATTAAAAATAATATAATTATTGATAAAGGGAAGCGTCTCCTATGTCGTGTCAAATCCGCATTGAAAAAAATAAATTTGTCCTCTCCTATAAAGAAAACCAACCCCCCCTCCGTAAAATCTGATCTAATACCTAATGATTAACTAATTTAACAATCTAAACTCTAGTAATAAGGAATAAATTTTCTATTTCAACACAGAACAAAGGAGACATTACATTTCTCTGAAGGCAAGACATTTAAACTTTTGCGCACCTAAGGTTATGGGCTTATGGTCAATTAAGTTGGAGGAGAACCATGATGTTTCAGCCTTTCAGGTTCAAATCCCAGCTGAAGCAAGCCTTGGCCGGTAGAGTTACCTGATATTTGTGCAGGAGGGGGGTAGAAGGTACCCAGGAACAGTCGAGGAATATGCAAGCTGGCCCGGACGCCATAGTCATTAATTTTTTTGAAACTTTTGCTAGTTTCCGTTGGTTATGTGTTTGTGCCTCCGACCTCAAAATAATATCCTGGGCAGGTTTTGTGTAACAAAACATTTTGTGTTGCTCAGCCCATGACTTGGATGTATCTTATTTGCTTATTACTTGAAGCAAGAACTTCTAAATTGCAAATGTACCACATTTTGTTATCATTGTACAGACCTTCTTTGGTTCTGATTTGATGTAAGCTCCTATGATGCTCTCTACCATGTTCTTCTAAACCTTAATCTTTAATACTACTTGGAATTTTAGATTATTTTTTTTGTGACGGTGGTGTCTGGGCCAGCTTGAATGGCCTTGATTATTTCACTGGGTACCTGCTACCTCCCAAAAGCAGGGGTACCTGGTCACACTTCCTTCCAAGGCTCAGGCAGATGGAAAAAATCACCAAGTGTTTTTATGTATGCTCTATTTCTGCCCTGCCCTTGTGCCCCTATTGGGGAGGTGGGAAAAGCTGCTTCCTTGTGCTGCAGAAGCTCATGTTTTTATTACCCATCGCAATATCGTTAGATGGACTGTCATGGGCTCAAAAATTGCTTTTTACATTGTCATCTTCTCTCTCAGGCTGCCTAGACAGAGGAGAAAGGTGAAAGCATAGAAATGTTTGCATTGACACATGATCTGCTTTTTCTATATTCTTTTTGAAATAAATGTCTAGAGATCAAGTGCTAGTTTTCATTTGATGAAGCTTCGTGGATTTGGTTTTACAGTAAAGAAGAGGCTGGCATGAAAACTGCGAAACTAAGAGATGAGAAAGAGGTCTTGGATAGGCAGCAGCGTGCTGATATTGATGCTCAGAAGAATCTGGAAGAAAATCTTCAGCAGCTTGAAAATCGGAAGCATGAGCTTGAGTCTCAGGAGAAACAGATGCAAACAAGGTTGAAGAAAATTCTTGATGCAGTTAAGAAGCATGATGAAGAACTGAAACGGGTGAAAGAAGAACAGCGTGAAATGAAAAATAAACTTCGACGCTCCAGGTTGGTCAGATTGAGCTATGATGCATTCTACTGAATACCATGACATATTTCCTTGTTTAATGGGCTCTGGTCATATGGAAGTTCAAGTAACTGCATTTGCATTTACTTGTTGTTTATGTAAATAACTAGAAATATCTGTTCTTTTGACAGAGAAAAACATGACAATCTGCGCAAACGACTTGATGAAGTAGAGGACCAACTACGTGAGTTGAAGGCTGAGAGACATGAAAATGAGAGAGATGCCAGATTGTCTCAAGCAGTTGAAACGCTGAAGCGTCTGTTTCCTGGTGTTCATGGTCGAATGACAGATCTCTGCAGGCCAACACATAAGAAGTATAACCTTGCTGTAACAGTTGCAATGGGCAGATATATGGATGCAGTAGTAGTTGAGGATGACCAAACAGGAAAAGAATGCATCAAGGTGCGAAAGCAACTATGTCATAGTAATGATACTTCTAATATCAAATAGTTAAGCGGTGCTAGTCTGGTTTCTCTTGCCACGGTTAATTAGGATTACCTGATTATATTTCTCAACTTCTATCTTGGTTTGATAACTTGTGATACTGCAACTTGGTGATGTTGACCTAGAAAGAAATTTCTTCTAAAAGTGCCTTCTGTTTTCAGGGACCGCTCCTTCCTTATTCACTTCATTGTTTTCCTTCTTTTTATTTGTTAATTGAAGCATTTTAACTTTATGTAAATATATTAATGTATTTTATATAGATGTCGCCGTGCTTGCTTTAGAGGTTCATTTTGGAGTGGGATAGGTCTTATCATTTTTGTCTTTGATGTTATACTCCTTTAAAATATCTACCTTTCTCCTTCATAGAGACTGCAATTAACATGCTACCTCTCTGGAGAAAAGCAAATGCTATAAGTCATATGATTCTCCACATGTTTGCGTCGTAGCCACGAGATGCTATCTATGCTTAAGTTTGTGGTAATAATGTACACGTCCTAAAATGCTATGTAACTTTTACCCTACATATCAATTTTGGGTATGTCACTTAACGTTATCAATTTCTGCTGTCTTATATCCAATCAAATGACAATGAAGTGGATTCTTTAGCTGTATATCCCTCTGCCACTCCCAATATAATGCTGGTCGCAGTGGTCCTGTTTTCAGATTTATGTTATCTATACTACTATGAACTTCATCACATTTGTCTATTTCCTTGGGGCGGATTATGCTTCTATACGTGAACTGTACCTCTATCTGTTTTAATCAGTGTAGTATAAGAAAGAACAATGGTATTTGAAGTGATGTTATATGGGATAGGTTTTAGGATGTGATATTCCCTTAAAATGCTTTTGTCTACAACTGGACTAGGGAGCATTTCTTTGACCCTGAGACAGTGCACTTGATTCATTGCCCATAGATTGAGATGCTCCTTTTGATGTGTTTATTGCCCCTATATTTTTCCATTGTGTTAATTGTGCCTCTACGTTCTTTTTTATGTGTAGTATTTGAAAGAGCAAAGACTTCCTCCTCAGACATTTATACCTCTTCAGTCGGTCCGTATAAAGCCAGTAGTTGAGCGGCTGCGCACATTGGGTGGGACTGCAATGCTGGTTTTTGATGTCATACAGTATCCTGTGCTGTTATTTTAATTATTGTACCTAATATGTTGATTATCCATATTCCTCAACCATACACCTGTCTATGATGATGGGAAATTCTTATCAGAAACTTCGAGGTTTTATGCTTAACAGTAACACAGATTTGATCCAGCATTGGAGAAGGCTATATTATTTGCTGTTCAGAATACCATTGTTTGCAATGACTTAAAAGAAGCTAAGTATCTTAGCTGGGATGGTGAGAGACTTAAAGGTAACACAGCGCTTTTCACTGATGAACAACAAAAAGTACTTCCCTTCTTACTATACAAGTTAATCTTGGTTTAACAACACCCATATTGCTTGTAGTTGTGACTCTTGATGGGATTTTGTTAACAAAATCTGGTACAATGACTGGTGGTACTAGTGGTGGAATGGAAGCACGCTCTCACAAATGGGATGACAAAAAAATTGACGGTCAGTTGTGTTCGTTATCCATGTGTCTGGTTGGTTGCATAGTCCTGATTCCTTTTCCCCGGTTTGTAGGGCTTAAGAAGAAAAAAGAAGGTCTTGAGTCAGAGTTGGAGGAGCTTGGATCAATAAGGGAGATGCAGCTTAAGGAGTCTGAAGCATCTGGCAGAATCAGTGGACTTGAGAAAAAGATTCACTATGCTGAGATTGAAAAGGTTTTTGACTATCTTTTCTTAAAGTTTTGTGAGCAGCCATCGTTTTGCATCCCTCCTATTAGTCATTTGAGATTCTTACATTGTCATCAATTTTCGGTTTAAGATGCCCTTGTAGCTTCTTATATAGCAACTTTCTTCCTGATAAAGTTTGATGTAGTGAAGGGGGAATATGTGTATTGTATCTCTAAACTTTGTAGTTTGCTGAGGTTTTTGTGTTTTTTCTTGGGTCCAACTCCATCTTTATTGCCTTTATTCCAATTTCTAGAACACTATTTTGAGATGTCTCAAATACTTGACATGTTTTGCTGATAAAAAAGTACCCAGACACATTATAGAAATAATATGGTTTATATAACTCAATTCTTTCAAGAAATAAAATTTATTTAACAGTTTAAATCCAAATTTCGCTCTAACGTTTCAATTACTCTAATATTTTCTGCTGCATTTGCTGTTAATACACAAGTCAAGTGGACTGTGAAACTCTCTGTCTAATCAATTCATGTCGGCATTAAACAGACTGAAGTAAGCTATTAGTGAGGACCACCAACAGTATAGCTTGTTTTGTTTCTTTGTGGGGAGTAACTAGTTTATATATATAAATAAGGATAAACAATTGCTTAATAATCAATTCCTATGATCACAGACCTTAGGATTTTGTTCTTAGGGCCACCCTGAGCACCATATCCTCATGTTGATTGGTTCTTTCAGTCTCAATCTAGTTGCTCATCAAGTTGATGGCACTTTGGAATTGAAAGGGTGTTAAAGTTTTATTTTTATACTCCACTGATTTATTGCTGCAACTTATTTGTTGATGGTCAATTTCTGAAGAAGGAACTCTGTCTATACTCTTCACTTCTTCTTTGATACATTATGGTAAAGAAGATGACATACTCACATTTATTTATACTTCCAAATGTTCGAATTCTTTGAAAAATAAACTTTATTTACACTTTGGATCTACTTCTGTTTACAACATTTTTGGAGAGTCTGAGCAACATAGTGGCTCAACACTCGTGGTGTTTTTTGCCCTAGCTTTTCACTTCTTTCATAGCTTATTAATTCTGTATCCCTGTTAATATACTATTGCTTATTGGCCTTTTCATTTGTCTATGTTCTGCATCTTGTAATGCTGTTAGCTTGAGTTGTCTTGCAGAAAAGTATTGCAGACAAACTTCAAAATTTAGAACGCGAAAAGGGGAGTATTGAAAATGAAATTGGACATATCCAGCCTGAACTTGAGCAGGTGTTTATACTTCCTATCTTAGTTTCTTTGGTTTTCATTTTGTAACATGGCTCTTACTAGGAGTTTCTGCAGTTGAACAGAAAAATTGATGCAAGGGCACAAGAGATCTTATCGCGAGAGAAAAGGATCAATGACATTGTTGACAGAATCTACAAAAAGTTCAGTGAATCCGTTGGGGTGAGAAATATTAGGGAGTATGAAGAAAATCAGCTCAAAGCTGTTCAGGAAATGTCTGAAGAAAGGCTCAATTTACATAATCAACAATCGAAGCTTAAGTCACAGTATGTTTCCTCTCTGATTAATGTTGTTGGTTCCTTATAACCATTAGAATAAATTCAAAGATAAATAGACACCGACCTCGACCTGATCATCTGACATTTTGATACTGTTTCTCATAATCATATTTCTCTGCCCTTGAGCCAAACAAGCGTCCATTTTTTTAAAAAAAAATTGAACTTGCTTTTCCTTGAGTATTTTGCTGTCCGCATCAATTGTTTGAGCTATAAAGCTAATAATAATATTGAAAGCTCGTTACGGTTTTAAAAGTTGCATTGTTAATTTTCGGCCTAGTTATGGCACATGCCACTTTCTTAATTCAAGCATGTTTCAGGTTGGAATATGAGCAGAAGCGGGACATGGATTCACGAATTGTAAAACTGGAATCAACCCTTAATAACTTAAAAGAGAAATTAAAGGAGGTTGAGACCAAGGAGGCGGATCTGAAGTCGTCCATGGAGAAAGCTACAAAGGAGATAGACGATTACAAGGAAGAAGTATTAGGTATGCTTTAGGTTTCACTTTTTTGTAGAGCCCTTTCACTAGCTTTTCAGTCTTGTTGGACTAGATATTTCTGCTTGTACTTCCTTTGTAGAAGTATTACAAAAGATTCCTTCTCCAAACTCTGTAAGAGCCTCATCAGATAAAGTGCATATTTTGATAGGGTGAAACTGTACCATGTTCTGCTTCTTTTATGATAAATCAGATCACAGCAACAACTGCCAATTTCTAATTAGTCTAAAACATGGAAAATAGCATTGCATGATACTTCAAACAATTTTTTTTCCTGTTCACATTTTCGAAACATGAGAAGTTGAATTGGAGCTATTGTTTTGGTGTCATGCTTTCTTCCTTTTGGTGCAAATTGGAATTAGTTGAAGATGCTGAAACCCTGTTACAGTGCACAGAAACTCTGTATAAATAGACAGGGTAAACTTCTCTTCTGCAATTTTTGGATGTTATCACAGCACTTTCTTAGTGCTTTTTTTAAACATTAATAGTTCTTGCCTATTAAAAAAAAAGAACTTCTGGGACTTAACGAAAATGCAGCTGTGTTCGCATAAATTGGTAAAGAGGGAGTATCACTTCCTGATTTTGGTAATTAACTAGTTATACATTCACTTCCAATTCAATTATATTTCATCTCCTCATTTGAATATACCTTTTCTGGTCATGTCAGGCAACTGAATGCCCAGTATTAGTCATTCCGTTTCCTATGTTCGCACTATGCAATTGGCAATATGTCCCTTTCTCCCAATATGTTGTACATTAAGAGAATTTTATTCCTTTCTTTTCTGCAGCATGGAGGTCCAAATCAGAAGAATGTGAAAAGCAGCTGCAGGAGTGGCAGAAAAAGATTTCTGCTGAAACAACTAGCATTAGCAAACATAACCGTCAAATTAAATCAAAGGTTTTTCTGATCAATGATAATTTCTTGGAGAAGTTCTTTCTTATACTAGTCATGGCTTCTGAGAAGCCACTCATTTTTGCCAATTGCATTCATATATGTTGAAAAGGAGTAGGCGAGTGCTTTCCTCTTAAAAATACGAGTATATGAGTGCTTTTGTTCTTTGTTTTACAGGAGGCACAGATTGAACAACTGAATTTAAAAAAGCAGGAAATATTGGAGAAATGCGAACTGGAGCAAATAGAACTGCCCACTATCTCTGATCCAATGGATACTGGAGAGTCTACACCTGGCCCTGTTTTCGATTTCAGTAAACTGAATAGAATGTATCAGCAGATTACGAAACCCGCTGAAAGGGAGAAACGTGAGGTGGATTTTACTCAGAAAATTGCTTCCTTGATGTCAGAGATAGAAAGAACTGCTCCAAATCTGAAGGCCCTTGATCAATACAAAGATCTGCTGAAAAAGGAGGAAGATGTTAATAAAGAATTTGAAGTGGCCAAAAATGAGGAGAAGAAAGTTACTGATGAATATAATAGAGTTAAAGGGGCCAGGTATTATTAATCTCAAATGCTGAAATTCACATGTATCTCTATATAATTTCACCATGATATTCCTGTACGTCAGAGTATAAATCAAGTGAAGTGGTTACTCTACTTGTTGGAGATGAGGTTACAGTAGTATGCTGTCAGGAGAGCATTACCCTATAGAATTGTTTGATCTATGTATGCTTGCTTATTTACGGTTGTTCAATCCCTGCTTCAATTAATGTTTTTATAAATGGGGTTTTTAAATTTTTCTAGAAAGGGAATTCTGCTTTTGATAAGTCTTTGAGATCCATGTGATTGAGATCACGTTTATTGATCTTCTATTAAAACCAATCTCTAATTCATCTATCCTTATATTATCCTTTGCAAGGATGAAGGATCTACAGGAAAAGACACATGAGGCACCAAAAAAAATAAAAGAAAGAACTAGAAAAATTTACGTATTGCTGAAGCATATATGTATTTTTTTATTTCAATTTTTTTGTTGAAGCGTGTTCTTTCTTGCACTCATTGTGGCCATATTCTTGATTATTTGATATGTGCATGAGACAATATGCTCCTATTTGTAGGTCCCTTTCTTCTCTTTTTCCCGTCTTTGGTGTGGTCTTTAGGTATATTTGTTGCCTTTGATTAGACGTAGAATGGTGGGATAGTCTTTTTATATTCTAATCCTGTAGAAAAAATAGCAAAAGTTGACTACCATATCTGTTATCGTATTTTGTTGATCTGAAGTCTGCATGTTCCCTACTTGTGGGACTAAACAGTATGTTGTTGGTGAAGTCTGCATGTTCTGCTTGCAGGTGTGAATTGTTTATGAAAGCTTTCAATCACATATCTGGCAAAATCGACAAGATATACAAGCAACTCACAAAGAGCAATACACATCCTCTCGGTGGGACAGCATATCTTAACTTGGATAATGAAGATGAGCCATTTTTACATGGTATCAAGTATACCGCTATGCCCCCAACAAAACGATTTCGGGATATGGAACAGCTTTCAGGAGGAGAGAAGACGGTTGCAGCACTTGCATTGCTTTTTGCTATCCACAGGTAATCTATGTGGCTACTCGCGAACTCATTGTGCCAGCAGGAAGTAGGGAAATACTTGTTTTAGTCTCAGAAATTACTATGTTCATTTGGCACAGTTTACATCCACTTGATATGCAAATATCAGCTAGCGTGAGCGCATTGTAGATATTGTCCTAGTGATAATACTTATCTTATTTCCTTCCAATTTGAACTAGTGCAAAAAATGTTTCACACTTTTTTGTGTGATTTTCAGTTTTAGACCTTCTCCATTCTTCATACTGGATGAAGTTGATGCTGCATTGGATAATCTGAATGTTGCCAAAGTTGCTGGATTCATTCGATCAAAGTCCTGTGGAGGTGCTAGGCTTACTCAGGATCCTGAAGAAGGATGTGGCTTCCAAAGCATTGTTATCTCTCTCAAAGACAGCTTTTATGACAAAGCTGAAGCTTTGGTTGGTGTTTACAGGGATGCCGAGAGAGGGTAAGATTCTGCAGCCTCTCTATCACTCACTTCCCTTCTTTCTTCTTACTTATGATGATAACGTCAACACGCTGTTTTTTTTTTTTTCTTTTTTCTTCTTGCAGTTGCTCGAGCACATTGACATTTGATCTGACCAAGTACAGGGAATCGTGAAAGTCCAACCTCTTGTTCTCTGGAGATGTAGTTCACCGATGTTTAGATCTTTGGTGGTGGTTAATATAACAGTTCAAATGTAGTGTAGATTGGTATATAAGTGATCTTTAACATTATATACATACATGTTCCCAGTCGTTTGAAGTTTCACAACGCTGTTGCTACACGCCAATAGTGGCTAGTATCTGAATGTATTTTAGTACTTGTGATTTGAAGAACTACATGTTGTGGCTGCTTCTTTGCTTTGAAATCTTCCTAACCACCCGTCACTTAGAGCGCATGAAACTCATAATTACGATTTGTATGTGAGACCATAGCTTACATGAAAGCAGGAGAGGATGATTTAGTCTGAGAATCGTCAAGCATGATAATGTTATAATAGCACCCGAACATAAGTAGAACTAATGTTCAAAAATGTGCGTCGAACTAGTTACAGCTTAATACCAAACTGGAAAAGCTAACAAAAGATTTAAGTAACAATCAACAAGAAGCTAATTAGTTGCAGGCTTCATTAGCTTGAGATAACTGTTGAGCCAAAACAGAAGCAGATTTTTCAGAAACCAAAGCTTGAATGAGCATGGTCTTTACTTCCCAAGCACTGTAGGGATAATTGTGTCTGGCATATGAATTCAACAATGCAGCTGTTGATTGCTTCACTAATCTGGCAAATACATTATCCCCATCGTCGTTTCTTCCAGCAGCTTCTAGCAGTGTTAGATCATACCTGTATCGCTCGTAGGCCCTGGATCCAAATATTTTAGATACTGTCGATGTCTGTGGTACCATTTTTGGCCATGACTCTCTTCTGCTGCTCCAATACCTATTCACCAATAGCAAAATAACAGGTTTTTATCTACTTTTTAGAATAGTGATAAGAGTAGTAGAAAGAAGAGTTTCTTACTGAGGAGTGCATCTTCCTCTGTTTCTGGTGTACACAAATCCAGGTCTAAACTGTTGAGCCGATACATTGAAATCTCCCAAGTAGAAGTAATAAGTAAATAAGAGCACTAGAATAGCCAAACGATTCTTCAGCATTTTCTTTGGAGCTTTTGCAGTTACCTCAAACTCTTTAGTGAAGTTATGTATATTTGGATCTGAAGAAAAACACATCCATCTTTTGGTCGTCCTCGAAAGTGGTGCAATTTTGAAGTTGCTAGCTTTTATTGAAACTATCACTTTCACCGTTTTTAACTTAATTTGCTTTTATGTTACTTATATACTCATGATGGAACAGGTGTTTGTTTGTAGCTAATGACAGTCCCACGTGGACGTGGAGGATAGCTTACCTTGCACGAATAATTTATCCCTTCCTTTCAATCTTCTTTTTCTTTATATAGGGACCGTTGTCCGTCTCAAATAAATAAATAAATATATATGGACCGTTGTGGGTTATTCTGTCTTATTTTGTTAGTGTCAGTTTGAATTCCATTTATATATACAAACAATCAATTAAACCTAGTAACCGTGGTAATTAATAATATGATTTCCTTGTAGGAAAAAGATATGTGATTATGGTGGTAGTAATTTACGACAAGCTGCGGTGATTGATAGTGGTGGTTACAACCAGTGCTATAGTGTAAAGGAAAATAAACTTAGTAATTAATGTCTAAATAATTATTATAATTTGAGACTTGAAACAAATAACTTGGTGAATAAAATTTGAATGATTCAAATTCAAATCTTTATCCAGTGTAGATAAATAAAAATAAAAAATAAAATGAAAATGATGGAATTAAAGAGTTCTCACGCTAGATATTTCAAATTTGGAGCTATTAAAGAGAAAAGAGTAGTAAATATGATCTCACAAAACCCAGTGCGTATATATACAATTGATAAATCAGGACACTTGACAGCAACGCGCAGGAGCGTCAATCATCCAAAGAGTTCCTCACGTGTAAGTCCTTTATTTACCCTAACTAACTAGTATAATGGATGGTGTGTATTTTACTAGTAACATTGCAAACCAAATCAAAGAACTGACAAACGGACAGAACTCAGAATTAACCTTTCATTCTCCTGGAACATGTAGTATGCAAATGGCAAGTGCTACCTATAAAGGTGCACTGCCACCCAAGCAGCAAAGGACTTCCCTCTTCTGTATAACTCAGTGCAAAAAGTCCCTCATTGGATCGTCATGGAGGACCTTTTTCATTCTGTAGGCCTCCATTTCTTCCGGTGTAACCTACACAGAGAAATGTGGTAAGACAAACAGAAGGGAAACATAAAAACAAAGAATTAGATGTACCTCGTCATTGTACTTCACGTTGTATTTTCTTTTCCTTTCAGCCCTCTCTTCTCTTCTCTTTTCATCCTCCTGCTCGGACAAGAAATACAAACTTAAGATCGTGTTAGACCATCCAGATATACATGTGAGCTAGAGCCAACTGAGATTAAAACATGGATTCAGTCAGGCATATTAACCACCACCCACACTTTTCCACTATCATTCTTTGTAAACATGGAAAAGAAAAAGAAATTACATTATGTTTCCAAAAAGAAGAAGAGGAAACTGAGTTAATTCATCATCAAGAAGAGTGGCGCTTCAAAATCACCAAGAATAGGTTAAAGGGGATACCTTTTTAAGAGCTTCAGCCAGCTTTTGCTGGTCCAGAACCAAATCGTCAGGAACTTCAGTTCCCCAAGTAGCGAGCCTCTTCTCCTCAACCGGCGCATGTGTATCTAGATTGATCACATATTTGATGAAAAGAATATAAATATAAAAGTTTGAGATAAATGGCTACACTGCAAACAAGTATACCTACAAAGTGACAGGTAAGAAAAAAAAACCACCTTCAAATACGGGGTTCATGCCACATTATTAGGAAAATATGTACACATTTGAAGTAGAAAAGCTAGGAAATCAGACAGTTCACTGATAATTCTGTCATCAAATACGCAATTCCCCCACAGTAGCGTGTAGATTCATAACACAATGAACAAAGAGGGTGGGTGAACAAAGGAGGAAAGTTAACTCCTTTGACTTATGGCAAATTCTAATATTCCATTGCTGACCCAAGAAAAACTGTAGAAGGTTGCTAATTCCAGTATAACCAAATTCTTGACCAAAATTCGAAGAGGACGACAGACAAAATTTCAGCAGTCTGTATTTATAGGTAAGAAGACCCGAAACATTCACAACATCTGATTCTGAATCCTGATCATATATTTCAAACACAAAGTGACAAAACAACAACTGTATCCGTCCCAAACAAGTTGGGCTCAGCTATATGAATCCTCACTGACTAGGTTTCCCTTTTAATTCATCTCAAGCCAACATCAAATGAAGTAATAAATATAAAAGAAAATAAAAATACCAGCAGTTCTCCATCTTTCCTATTGCGTAAAAATCTCTAATAGTGCTAAAAGACTCCTAGAAAGCATAAGATCTAAAGTAAACATATTAAGGATACTCCCAATCAGTTGGGTATCATGGGAAATACTTGGATTTGAGAAACTAGAGACTTGGGTATCGGGTCATATGCATCATAAAATCTAAAATCAAACAATAAAGAATTGTGAAAGTTCCATTATCAGGAAACTGGATTATCGGTATGATTAAAGTGCACATACTATTGATTTAACGAGGGGGTGTAGCAACCTGAATTTCAATAGAGAACACTAACCTTCAGCAGACTCCTTGCGAGCAATATTGGCCTTCATAAGATCACCAGAAGCTTCAGCTGCTTCAATTCCAGCAGCACCTGTACAATAGCTGTTTCTGATGGTCTGTTTGCAGCATTTGTAACCCCACTGATGATCCTTCCACCATGAACCCCAAACTGTGGTGTGGTTATTGATGAAAACATCCTCTTCATATTTGCTCCTAGGAATAGACATCTCCTACAGCAAGCAACTCACAAGTTATGCCAAACAAACGAATCTAGAAACATTTATAGACATTATACACTCTTAATGTTCCTAATAAATGTTATTTCTAGTTCTATCCTGTTTCCCTAGAAAATGGAGCAAGTATTTCTTTGCGTTGCACAGACTAGTCGTAACAACTTGGGAAGGTTTTGGAGATGGTATCTGAAAATTGCCGTGCTGTCCAGATGTTTATGTAAATGAGGATAGTTAAGTGTTGAATCCGATTATCTGTATGAAAGGCAGATGATAGTTTCTTTGAGGTATCAGTATACATTCATTCTTTAATGAATAATTCTCTCGGAGAGTTTAATAAGTAATATATCTTAATATATCAAGTTGTTTCCAGTTTGGATGAACTTGGTTAGGAGAAGAATAGAAATACCCACATCTTCAAAAGACAAAATAAAAAAAGATGTCGAATTGCCTTCAATCGAGGTAAACAAGGCAGTATGATTGAAGACTGGATTGCTAGATATGATGGAAGGAGAGGATGATCTCTTGAATTATTCTGCTCTCAATACTTGAAGTAGGAAATAGTGATGAAGTTTATTATGTTGCTGGAACTGAAAGGTGAAGGGAACCTAAACCCAGCAGAGATTGGAATGCAGCAGAATGAACCCAAATGAAATCAGATACCTTTTTGCAATTGCAACAACAATTAAGCTTCAATCTCAGTGTAATTTAATATATACCATTACGTTATGCTATTCAACCCTGTGTCCTAAAACATGCAAAGTAATTTATTTATGCAGTCTATGATGAAAGAATTACCTGGCCCTTCACAATCCTACCAGCACAATCATATTCAACTTCTCTCTCACTCTGACCTAACAGTAGTTCTCTCGGGAGTATTTCTTCACTGGCAGCATTACCATACTTCTCCATGATATCCTCCTTTGTTTGTGACTTCAGTTTCTCCTTGTTAACCTTGTAATTTTTGTAAAGCAGTTCTGCTTGGGATGGAGCTGCTTGCATATGAACATCATGCCCCTTGTCAAAAGCTTCCCAAGCATGAATATTCAGCTGCTTGAACTCCAATGCTTGACCACTAACTCTATTTTGGTTATCACCCTATAAGAGGAAACATAAAAGGATGACTAAGTTAAAAAATATGAACAATGAAAACCAGTACTATTTGGTGGACCAAATGTACACTTACAGCATAGAACTTTTCATTTGGATCCATATCTGGAAGAGGGTCTTCACGCATGGACCGGGTTTTTTGATCATAGTGTGCAGAATTGACGTCAAGATTAAGAAGATATTTTGCTGTATCTTCCCGGATACGTAGATTCCTGGACGATGCAGAAGCATCAGTAGCTTGATAAAGTAGCACTCAGACCAATATGTGTACTATGTACTTTCTACATAGTACAAGTCAGCCATTCATTTAACCCCTCATTCATTCCCCCACAACCAAACCAAAAAAAAAAAACAGGACCCCAAAAGTAAATAGGCAGGAAGGGATCAAAGATGAAAAAATATTAAGGAAGATAGACCTAACAGTTCCTGTGCTTCCACCACCAGTGGTTCGTACACGCTTCTCAACTTTTGCAAAATCCATCTGCTTGCTTTCGTCAACCTTGGCTTCATCTACCTTCAAAACATCTTCAAAATATTCATCTTCGCTGTCACCTCTTTCTTCATCCTCTTTGTTATTTTTCTCCTCCAACTTTTTTAGTTGTTGATCTTTAAGGTATTTCTTTCTTGCTTCATCCCTTGCTTCATATCGTTCAATGATATGAGCATAAGAAGCAGCATCATAACCATTCCAACGATCCCTTTTACCATCATAATCCAGCTCAAACTGCTCTATCTTCTCATCAGGAGCAATGTGTTTTCCGGTCCATTTTGCTCCTAATATGCGTGGCCTGTCCGTGCATGACTTAGCATCGTGCGTCATTGCTCCACAGCTGTGTCAGTCACATTATATTCAGATTATCATGTGAGAAAGCACATTAAGCAATACTATTTGTCTATTTCAACACCAAAGTACATAGAAGATTTGCTATTTCTTGAATCCAAAAAAGTTATTGGCCTTTTTCCAACTTTAGAGTTGGAATCAGATGAGTATACTAATTTTCTATTAACTTCCCAGAGTAAAAAGTATACACCAAAAATTGAAGTTTAGCCAGGCACCTACCAGACAATGACTACAAGATTTGAATTTCCAGATCAAAGGATTCTCTTTTGATTGAAGTCCTTTTTGACCATATTAAAGGTAAGAGACATAATGTATACATCTATGAAAGCCAGCAAAAAGAATGTGAATCAAC